GTACAATATGCAGGTGGTTAGGTAATCATGAATACACATACACGCATACACACAAACCTAGTAACAATCACTAAACATAATAGTAATTTTGTGAAAAATATCATCTTAATATAGTATTTGTTGTATTTAGTATACATCTATGATTAGGACCCTTATATTTTCATTATATTCGTGACGTTGGAGGTGGAAATGATATGCATAGCTGAGTGTAGATGTTGTTGTCAGTGTTTGTCCGTTTGTTTTTTGTTCAAGGATCATTGATGAAATTGACTATCATGATTATTATGATTACAGAACAGTTAAAGTGCATTTTACTTATTATTATTGAAGTGATTAAAATGACCTCGATTTTCAGTGTCGATAAATTCGTAGCTATGTGCATATATATGTATATGTAAACAGTCACTCAAGAACTTTGATGTCTACGAAAGCATAAAGGCAGGTGCACAGTAACATATACGTATCCACTTATAGATAGTTACACACATCTGTTTGACCTTTAATATAAGTTATAGTTATGAATATTTACCATTACTCAAATGAACTTCCATAGAAAAATTTCTACAACGTTAAGAAGAAAAGCATCTATAAAAGGAGAAATATATACTTCAAGTACGTATACGTGTCTTGATGCATTCATTATTTCACCTTCATGAGTAATCTATGCACATACGTGGAGATCAAAAGCTATTCTTTGCTTCAGTATACAAATTCAAAGTTAGATTTTTATCAATCATAGGTTACTGTTGCTTTTGGAACAAATAGAAAAAAAAATTGTTGTACAGTCTTTAAGTAATCCACAGAATGATAAAGCCGTCATTTAAACGGATAATTATACATTGGTTCTTCAGGAAAATGGAATACACCTCTAGGCTTTTTAAAAACATGTCGGTATATAGTCTCATTCTGTGGCACGACTACATGGATGCTCTCACCTGGGTGAATAGTCTTCAAGTATTCACATAGAACAATGAACTTTTTGTTATGAGTTTCGAAGACTGCAATTTAACTTAGTGGATTTTTGGGTTATTTTTTAAAGCAGGTAGTGATCTACATCTAAACCGTGATGGTTGGTACTAGTATCCAGTTTCTCATATGTCAATGGGTTGGATGGAGGTTAAAACACCAAGTATGTAAACTGATAAACTGCAACTACGCAGCCTAGTGCTAAACAGAGAACCAAATTGAATTAAGTCACTAAGAGGTTTTTGAATTCCAGATGACTAAATTCCTTATTCTGTTACCATTCTATCCTTTTTAGTGGATAATAAACTGGAGTCGCTACAGTTAAGCACTAAGTTCCTCGAAGTCACATGGTGCATATACCAGTGGTGTATTCTAAGGTTTTTTATATATTTCTTTAAACAAGACAATAAACACCAGTTACACAAATAAAACCCTGTAATTCGATTTTTCTGATGAAAATTGTGTAGATTTCAGTTAGACATCGTTGATTCTTTGAAGTACACGAAAACTTATTGATATCTGTGTATGTAAATTACATGAGTTCATTTGGATGAGGAGACACTTCGTAAAAGGAAAGGGTTTAATAAAATCCAGCCTTTAGGGCTTTTTTCTCTGAACACACACTTTAATCAAGTGTTTATTGTTGAACTCGTACGTCCTGAATTTTTTATATGTTGATTTGTGTATATGTATGTCTGCATAAACTGTTTATAGGAATCAAACAGATATACAAATGAATGGATAAATAAGTGAATTGGATTATTTGTAGGAAAATACCAAATTAACAGAAATAGAAACTCATTAACTTCTTCTGACGTTGTTTCGCCTTCCATCTGTTGGTTAACTTTCTGATCTCTTCCCCAGTGTCACCCTTTGCGCATTATACAACCACACCACCACCAGTTTTCCCCTCGCAATCTTCATTTTTATGTCTCAAGTGTTTTATACTACAAATGGATGAAGAGAGAGAAGGAAAAGAGCATTTTATCATTAACAAGGATTATCAAGAAATGTGGCAAACGCCAGGAGAAATCAAGCTATCGTTCAGTACATGTCAGTTATACACATTGTCTTTGTAGGTATGTAGTACTCATGAACAGATTGTATATTGTATATGCTAATGGTGGATTAGGCAGAGTATTAGGTGTGAGAACGTAAAAATATACACATGCGAAACCGTAATCTTGATTCAATTTAATTCTTCCAGCAAAAAATGTCTTAACAGTGTTCCCTTCATAAACTTCGAAATCATTTACATCTTTTCCATATGTTAATCTAATTGCCAAAATAGAAGAGAGAAAAAAAATCTTGGAATTTCAGATCTTGTCAGCTTAATTTATTTTCTACCTTCACTTCCATCTTGAAATTTACACACATGTATCGATCTGAGTTGTTCGCGTGAACCGATTTATAACATGCTCACTTCTCAGGTCAATAAATTTATTGAATACTACTCAGTTGAGAGAATAACTAAAACATCTGTATTGACGGAGGGGGAAGACGGAACGAAACTAACCACAGACAGTGAATAGATAACAGCAGGAGAAGAGCCGAGTTAATCAATCGATAAATAATGAACATGTGTTCATATAGACTTATCTGTAGATCCATGTTGATGTACGTTATGAGTAGTTAAAAAAGTTGATCGGATGTGTCAATCAGTTAAGAAATGAACATTTTTTACACTTGATGTGGTGTTTTTTGTTCAGATGTACAATGCTATCAAATTTTATGATCACTGATCACAATGAATATTACTGTAAAGTTGATATGATTAGCATTCACCAAAAGCATTCAGGTAGATCCAACGAACAGTTTCCGTTGAAACAGATTTATGGAGTCTTTTAATCAGACTAAATGTTGTGACTTTTTAAAAGTCGTTAAATAATTGGAATTTGAATTCTAATCACACTTAGTTGTAGTACGTAAACTTTTTGTAGAAATAGAATCTATCACCAACCTTTCAGGCTGTTAGGAATGAGGTCGTTTTAATAAATATACTTGAGGGTTCGGATACCGTAGAAGCAGAACATACGCGTACATTTCTAACCTACTGTATGCCAAGGTAACTGTGTCACAACTTACGTATGCAATTTATTTATTTCACTTCAGTCACCAAGGGTTTTTTAAGTGAAATAAAAATCTGATCAGCAGTTGGACCTCGTAACTCCGTTAGTAAAGCATCGGGCCAGAAACGCGGTGGTCGCTGGTTCGAATCCGGCCACGGTCCAGATTTTCATTTCACCCTCAGTCATCACCCAGTATAAATACTGTCCTCTTGTAGAAAGCGATAGATCTCAGCGTAATTATCGAGATCATCGTGACATTTGATAAAGACCCCAGTCATTGGATCTGGAATTCCTGCTTAAATTTTATTGTACTAAGATGCTAGATGCTTGGTATTTTATGAACTTTGATTTATGTCATTATAGAATATGAGAGCTTAGAGAACACTAAACCATTGTCATTCTCATCCTGAGGTTCTAACGTGTGTTTTTAATGTACCCATTTTGACATAAATAAACAATTATTCATCCATAAAATAGAAAATGTAAAATTTTCCGAATGACTAACGCGTCGATATAAGTGCCCGTTTTTTAGACCATTACTTTGACTTCCATATTATTTTTGATTAACGTCACATACGTAGGATGCACCACAGATCAAAAGATAAGATCTAACATACTGTTAGTAGTTGAAAGAAGCTCATAGCTATTGATCATAAACTGACTGTAACTGACTGGTAACGTTTAAGTCGTACAGTAGTTCCGTTTCTTTCCGCACAATAGCATGGACGGATGTATCAACAGCTCAGTTGTCCCAAATCAGACATATGGAAATGAAAGTAAACTAGTAAATAAGGCGAAACTAAGTGTAAAAAGCAACATTAAGTTGTTTTACTGCGAAACTGAAGCTTTCCACCATTACTATAAAAATCCATTATTCAAGAATATGTGTTATAGAAGGAACAACGCATAACAGCAAAGTATTACTTGAAGGCAAATTTGTCATGACAGCAAGTAAGTGGTGGTAATATACATAGATAATCGGTGGTGCAGCTGATCTGCTACAGAAATGTATCACCTTGCTTCAGTTTGTTTCCCTAAAAAGAAACCATGCTATATAAAAAGTGATTTCAAATGCTGTTGTTTCGTTGTTCCCAATTGATGTAGAAATTCGAATGATACAGAAGATGCTGTAAACGCTCAACTTATTTCAAACTGTAAACTTTTTTCATAAGCGTCATGATTGTGTTTTCATGCATATCCTCCGATAATATAGTGTTGACTTCATATATTCACCGAAGACAGTCCAATCAATTTTAGAAGTTTATTCTCATAAATTAAACTTGCATTAACCTCATGTCTATTACTGTTTCTTACTAGTGTGAAAATTATTTCTGTTTATTCTGTTTTTTGTCTTCAGGTGGTTGCATAGATCTCTCATACAGTGGTGCAAATAAAACACCAACTGGTCAAAACAAACTTTCATTAGTAAATCCATCAAGTGCAACTTTACTCAATGATATAGTGGCTTGTTCAACTATCAGTAGTAGTAACAATACTGAGAGCAATACTGACCATCATATAGGTGAATCCAGTGAAACATGTGAATCACTGATTCAAAAAACATTAAATAAATTACATCAGAATTCCAATATTTCTTCATTTTTAACATCGACATTGAAACGGCTTCTATGATGAATGCATCATCGATACCATCTTCCTCCTCGTACAATATCTCAAATGAACCAACGTCTAAGGTACAGCAGACAACAGTTAATTACAGTCCTCTTCAAACTTTCCCATTATCATTCACATTACCGGTAAATACAAATGATTATCATGGTACAAATGATTTCTTCTCAAATTTACTCAAGTTGAAAATACCTACTCCAGATAACTGAAAGAAATCTTTGTCAATACAAATGATACCAACAACAAAAATATCAATACTCCCTGCCATATTACCACAATGTTTATGTATGTAGTGTGAATGGAGTTTATAGTCCTCAGTTGGTAAATGACAATTATATGAAAAATAACTATACGGCTAACAATACGACCAGTAGTAGCAGTAACAGCAGTATTATTACTACATGTACGAATAACTTAGATAAACATAGTCATCAGACTACAAATGTATCAACAAGAACTAAGAATCGTAAATCAGGATTTCAGGCCGGTGTAACAGTTGGCTATACTTACGATGCTTTTTTCATATCTGATGGTCGATCAAGGAAACGCGTTAAAAACTCACTTGCAAAACAGATAAAATCACACAGTCGTCGATCATATCCTATTGATGATTCATCGAACTTAATTAGTCCACGATCAAATAGAAGTACTTCAGGATCTTGTTCATTAGATGGAACTTGTATGTCGAATTGTCCAAATGACGAACCGTCGGATGGAATATTGAATGGCCAGTCAAAATCACATGTGTCGATTACATCATCATCTTTATTGGCGTCATCGACTGAGTCGCAAAAAGAACGATACAGTTGTCCAGATTGTGGGAAAAATTATGCCACTTCATCAAATCTTAGCCGACATAAACAAACACACCGTAGTTTAGACAGTCAGTCAGCTAAAAAGTGTCCACAGTGTGGTAAGGCTTATGTATCTATGCCAGCATTATCGATGCATTTATTAACACATGACTTAAAACATCAGTGTGACATCTGTGGTAAGCGTTCAGCCGACCATGGTTACTTCAGGGTCACAGACGTGCACATACAGGTGAGAAACCATATGGTTGTGCTCACTGTGGTCGAGCATTCGCTGACCGATCTAATTTACGTGCTCATATGCAAACGCATTCAGGTATGAAACAATTCGAATGTAAAAAGTGTCATAAAAACTTTGCACTCAAATCCTATTTGAATAAACATTTAGAATCTGGTTGTATGAATAGATCTGATTGGTCGATGAACAGTTCACCAGCAACCGATGAAAGTAAATCTCACCAGACATCAGAGAAAACACCGAAAATTGAATTTTACCAACAGTCTGATCTACCATGGAGCGTCACCAAACTAATTAATTAGCTAACTAACTAACTGATATCACAGAAATCTGCATATTTTTCCATTATGTTGTTGATTGATTTTGCTTCAAATTTCTAGTTTTCTCATCCATTAAAGACAATGTCGTCATTATAAACAGACTAAGTTTGATCATATTATTTTTACGGACCTAATTTTCCGCGTATTTCTAATTTTTATCAACTCATAGACTGATACACTTTATTTCCCCTCTACAATTTCATTTATTACTATTGAATAAATTTAGTCATTTTTTCAAATCCTTTCTTGATGATGCACTTCTACCTCTGATCATAAAGATGAATATGAATCATTATTTGGATAGGAACCGTATCACTGCCTCCATCACCATTAGGAAACTTTGTATCAGTTTGCATTTCCTGAGTATCAAACAGTATATTGTATTAAATGAAATGAAATACTCAATAGACGCACATTCCACCTATTCATTATACAAAACTAAATCAAGACGATGGAGCTGCTGACGTCGGTGGTGATTGTGATGTTAGAGAAGAAGACAATTTTGTCACTGCTACAATTATAGTTTTTGAGTGGACTTTTATAATTTACTCGCTTTCTTTGTAAAATAGTAATTATTTACTTTATACTATGATGTCATTTGTGATTTAATAAAATTAAGACGATAAACTATATATATATTTATAAAAAAAGCCTTCTACTTCATCGTCTGGCATAAAACAGATTTAGCAAACTACAATATCAGTCACGTTTAATCGAAAGTTTATAAAGGTATGTTCGTTACTTCAGACTATAACAGAGTGAGACACTAACTTTTATTATTTACTAGAATGTCATAAAATGTGTTTAAAAAGCACCATCACAATAATCATAAATTGAATACCTCATAGAGCTTCATTACCGTCGTATGAACTTAGTGATTTGTGGCATTCTGTTTTCACTTAGAAAAATATTTTTTGGTTAGCTACTTAAAGAATAGATTTCTCATGGAAATATCTTGTATGAATAGAATAAAGAAGTGATAAACTAGTCATATACTATCTAACTTTGATAAAGGTAATGGATTTGTCGATATCCTTCTTCCGGAAATTTCTTAGTTATTGGTGCAAATTATGTCAAGTAAATTTTTGAGAAGACATTTCTGGGTAAATTAGTACAATGAATGAACTGATGTTTAATTGATGATTAATTGTTTTTAAACTGGATTTCAACAAACTACCTTATAGCTACCTCAAAATATGTGGACATCATTCTGTCTGCTTTGAATTTTGATAAACTATCTTACAGTCTACAGTAGCAGTTATCACTGTCTTACTGACAAGTTTTAGTGAAAAGAGCTAAAACTAAACCATAGATGAGTATCTTTTTTCAATTTATTGAGGTGTCTCGGTTTCCTGAATAAACTAGTACTTTAGCTGATAACATGGAGAGCAAAGAAATCCTGGTCGGCATACATAGTTTAATTCAAAGAAACTCACTCAGCTACTTTGTTCAAATTCGTGTGGCAGGCAGTGAGCCACACTTAGTGTATGACAGCTGATGATACTACGTGTGAAGCGGAGTTCGGACTCATGACCCACTGGTTGAAAGTCATCTCCCTAAACTGATTAGCCACAAATTACTTCAGTTGGAATAGCTTTTTCTCTATATTACCATATGCGTAGTGCACATTGTCACAAATCAGAGTCAGCAAGTTAGCATTCATTAAAAAGGAAAGGTTAATAACCTTTCTTGAACAAAATCAATAAACATCTTGGTTTCAGAAATCTTTAGGTTTCCTGATATCCAAATGGAAATCATAATTAAAGTATGTGGATCGTTCGTATAATTTGTTTATGGGACCCAATTGTTGAATGTTCTTTACATGCTCTTCAACCACTGAGTAGTATATCCTACTAATTCATGAATGTCACAGCTTTTCAAAGTTACATTCTACATTTTCTTGATATTCATCAAAATAGGAAATGAAATAAAATCGGATTTGTGCAAACCAACATATTTTTCATATGTGTTTTTTGAGTAGGGAAATTTGGTAACCAATTAAGATGTTGAACACGATGATGACAAGTTCTCTATTTCATTTTGTTATTGAATATATACTGAGTGATGAAAGTATCTTCTAGTTATTTTATCCGCCCAAAGTATTAAATGCAGAATGAAATCTGTGTGTAGTATTGCTGGGTAATATCATAAACCTCCAAGAGACATGATGTTTCTTACTATTCATAAAGTGAGTTGTAGTCTTGATAGTCTCCATTCAGATTATCAACTAATCGAATAAAAAGTAGATTCATTTGTGCACTCACCTTACTATACTGATACTTCAGAACTCGAAAAGTGCTCCTCAGCCCAAAAAGATAACCTTAATTTATCACTGAAAATATAACTCAGCAACTGAATCCATATTTGTACGCTACACTTTAAGGTGCATATTTTCTAAGGAAATTTCCAAGTCCTCAGTACACAAAAACTAGGGCTAAAATCAAGTTTTTCTACCAAAAAATCACGGATTCTCCAAAACCTGCAAATTCATATGACGGAATCCCATCTGTTGTAATTAATGCACAATGTTATGGTCACATTTTACTGACATTGGAAGTGCTTTTTGCAGATGACGGCTTACTAGTTTCCATAGCTGTTTCTTATATACTGCTAGTACGATAAACTTATAAGTAGCTTGACCTTCGAAGTAACTAAGACTGCTACTTGGTCTTTACTTGTTGATGAACCGATTTAATTGTTTCACCAAAACAGCAGAACTTACAAGAAGTAACTATTTTATCCAATGTCACTATGATTTTATGGTATCAAAAATGTCTAACACCAGAATGTGAGTAGTGACTACCAGAAAATAGCAAACGATTAAGATCACCTGGGGTTTTTTTTTACAGCAATTCTCCCTCCTAACTTTAACATGAAGTGAACACAAATAATTCACGGTTTCCTGGTTTATATGGATAGGTTCCTTGGAAGAATTATACTTGTTGCATGATTAGAAGTGACTACTATGAAGGTCCTATAATACTGAACACATCTCCCTTTAATGTCAGATGACTGTCGTGCCTCAGTGGCTTAGTGGACAACGCTCTGGCGTTTGAAGCGAAGGGTACTGGGTTCGAGTCTCAGTAGGGACAACATCACTCACTGGGATCCAGGTACATCCAGCCAACGAGCCCCAAATAGGATGGGACGTACGTCCTAGATTCCTCTGCCAGTCATCAAGATCAATATAACATTAGGTGATTCAGTCTGATAACCACCTTGCAAAATGTGTAGATGGTAATCGGTTATACTATGGGCTAGATACCTTGACACCGGTGATTAACGACGAGATAAAACATACATGCTTTGTAACAAGATGCCACAATTGTGGATAAAAAGAATGTAAAAAAGCTGAAGAGATTGATTAAACTCCTCTCAAAATCACTCATTTCGCAATAGTGGCCATTAATGTCAGTCACGCCACATTTTGCCTAAATAACATGCCGGATACAGACAGTGTAAGTTTACATAAACCCCGTTTGACAGATGTAATGCAGTAAGCCTTGCATCAACATTCCAAGAAACTTATGTAAGTATCAATAACTGGAACAAAGGAACAACATTATTCCCAGAGGATCACATTAGTGTTACAGAGTATTACGCCATTTACAGAAAATACATTTTCGTCATTTATATGACTTATTTACTCTCAAACTACTTTTACATTGAAAGCTGAACGTTAGTAAAGAAACTAAATAACTTGAAAAGCATTAAATTACCATCTTTTAAGTAAGTAATTCCATTAACAACAATAACAGTACCAAAAAGAAACTAATAAATAGGATTTCTAATGGTGAATTGCACTATAACAACCTAAAAGGATATCTGTAAGTGGTGAGTGGACGCTAGCGTTGCATGAAGTCAGTTATACATTTTGCGAATGAACTTTGAAAATATCCGTGAATCATTTTTATGCAAACTCCGATTATCCACTTGATACATTCAATTTGAGTGTTTTTTTAGATCAAGAAAATCATTATTAGGCATTAAGCGATTCGGAAGCAAATTACTTGGAGGTAATCACTCTAATAGTATCAGCCGCTGTGAGGGGAATTATTCTGTGGACGGAAATTGCCGTGCGGAAGGAGTATTTACAATGTCTAAAGTAAAATCTAAGTTTGATTTTCATCCTCTAGTAGGTAAACTGCAAATGCATAACAATAACTGTGTTATTCAATGGGTTTCTGGAATACAAAGGTCACTCTTTTTATCCCAGTTACCGGTTATAGTGATTTGTTCCTTACTTGTGTTGATTCATTCAAGAATATCAGGATGTAATTATCAACAATATTTCGGTTTATACAAGCTGGAATCCACTTGCTGATTTCGATCTATTTATTACATCAAGAGAAAAACTCGTCTACAGTTTCTGACAAACTAGACTAGTAGCATCAGTGTATGCGGATAAAATAACACTATGATCTCAGTTTCAGCTCACTGCTATCACTTTTACTGAGATTGATGTCGTAATCTTCCTAGTCAGCTGCCTTCTCAACATCAGCACTCTGTTCAATCTTGAAACTCCATTTGTTTAACAAGGCTAATGTTCGTTCTTCAGAAGCTACTTATAACACATTTCTAATCAGAGGAACGCATCCCTTTGCTGAAGAAATCAATCGCTGTTATTATGGTCAATTCTCATTTCTGTTAAATTTTTCGAATCCCGAAAACATTACGAGGTCTTTGATTCGATTTTTATCCAAATTATTCATCTCAACGGTAGAAAGATTGACATTTATGAATATTTCTATCTCGACTACCAGTATTCCTTAGACATGAGAGAAACTAATTTAGACAAACCGTTTTGCCGCTGGTGTCCTGTTACACAACTCATTAGCCAGCAGAAATAGTCAGGGTGTCACCCCACCAACCGAAGTGAGAGGGGGCTTGATACTAGTCAAGCGATACGTATTAGATGTGGCCAGCTTTAGCGGCAAGGCGCTGGATGCAATTTCAGCTAAGGAGGTACGGGTAGACATCCG